TCTGGACCGGTTACCGAGTCGTGCACCAAATAAAGTAAAGGTCTGGCTCCTGCCGGGCGAGGTGGGCGGGCGAGCGGCGTGCCAGCCGGCTCCGGGGTGTGGCGAGCCCTCGGTTGCCCAGAAAAGATGCAACGCGCGTCAGCAAGAGCCTTGGCTGCTGCCGCGAGGGTCCCTGACGCGCTGCTGGCTGTCCCGGGTGGATTTTCTAAGTTGGGGAGGGCGCATGACAAGAGCTGCCCCAGATGTCACTCCCTTTTTGGAAATCATGAGGCTGCCTTTTTTTTTTTTTTTTTTTTTTTTTTTTTTTTAAACGACTGTGGCTATAATAAGGCAAACGGTCCACGCTGGTGGAGTAAACTCTCATACTTAAGGGGCATCCGTCTTCGGGGAAAGCACACCGAGGCACGGGTGCGTGTCCATAAAAATGTTATTTATTAAGCGAACCTCAGGACATGCCCATATGGGTACTACAGAGTCAAATAAAGTATTGCAGGCACCGACTGCCTAAAAGGGAGTTGCCTTTTTACAGAGAGACCTTTATTAAAATTACGGCAACGGCCAAAAAGTTTTTTCTTGCGTCATGGCACCGTTGGGCGCTGGAGGTGCCCCGCAATCCATGGACTTCTAATTTCCGTTCATTGTTAGGTTCAATACTCCGCAGTAACGTCTCAAAAAAAATCCAAGAAGCATGACCCCATCCTTGCACAAGATGACGCTAAAATGGCATGTAGTACCAGCCTTGGAGTGCGGGCCGAGGAACTTCACTGTGGACTGAGGGTTGTGTAATAGTTTCAGGCACGAAATCATTTTAGAAGCGTGGGATGAATTCCTACAGAACTGTCCCCTCCTTCTGTATTTTATCGAAGAACTCGCAAGGCTTCTCAGGTTGCAGCTCGATTCCTACGAAGCTATTTTTGCTCTTTGTCCGAGCCCATTGGTCTTGACACAGCATCGCTAGAGTCACCCGCTCCGCTCCTGGACAAAAGACCTTTGAGAGCGAATTCTGCAGAGAGAGTCTCTCTGAAAACACACCTCAGAATTGTCCAGTTCTGTCCCAGACACACGACAACACTGGAACAGAGGTCAGGACGTCTCCAGGTGTTCCTGGGCTTTGGGTGATCATTTCAGGTAATTCCATTCATTTTTGTGTTTCTATGTGCCATTATTATTATTATTATTATTATTATTAATGACCGTGTGCTTACCTTAGTGGGGGCAAAGGAATCAAACTGGACTGTCTCAATGACAGCTTTTTGGTTTTTCATCCATCGGCCAGACATAAGAAAGCACTGGGTGTGATACCCATTAGGTACTTGGGCGCCATGAATGTATACCACTAAAAATATAGATGCTTGGTTATTTTATTAAAGAGGAAATAGCAAATGGTCTTGAAACACTGGAGAGAAGGGGCTCCCCCTGCTGTCATCACAGAGGCTGCATCGTCTCTCTGGCTAGAGTAGCAAGGACATCGCAGGGTAAAGCATAGTAGCCGACCATTCATGAAGTTCTCATCACCTTGGGGGACGTATAGTTCTATTGGAAATAAAAAAAAAACAAAAACACAGACCACGAATGAAGGCAATGAATACTTTTCTTAAAAGTTTTCTATGCTCACATTCATTTGCTGAAGGGCCAGCGTCCCTATAAACCACTGAAATGGCCGGGGCACCTGGGTGGCTCAGTCGGTTGAGCGTCTGACTTCAGCTCAGGGCACGATCTCGCGGTCCGTGAGTTCGAGCCCCGTGTCAGGCTCTGGGCTGATGGCTCAGAGCCTGGAGCCTGCTTTGGATTCTGTGTATCCCTCTCTCTCTGCCCCTCCCCCGTTCATGCTCTGTCTCTCTCTGTCTCAAAAATAAATAAATGTTAAAAAAAAAAAAAACAAAAAACACTGAAATGGCCAACCCAAGTCCACGGGTGGCTTTAAAGGCAAGGGTGGCATTTGCCACCTGGTGGCAGGTGGGGTTAGGGTGAGCCTGTGTTTGAGCATATTGTGCTTTAAAAAAAAAAAAATAATCGATAAAAGTGACGTATGACGAAAAATAAAAGAACACCACTAAATTTTGACCTTGGTAAAAATGTTGGATTTGTAAAAAAACTCGTTTCCTTTTCCTGTAAATCACACTCCTCTGCACATGGGTCTTCACATCTGTAAGTAAGCCTTCAGAGCTCATGAACACCACGGATTTGTAGCCCTGGGAAGAATTCGATGGCAAACATTCCCTGAGTGAAGTGTCAGCCGTGACCAGACCGAGCCGGAGGTCATTCATCTGTTTGCTGAGAGGTTGAGGACTTGGATGGAATTAGTCGGGTCGAAGGTCTTCACGGATGAGGTCAATCGCAAGCAGTTAGGAAGGAGAGGAGAGGGGCGCCTGGGTGGCTCAGTTGGTTAAGCCGTGGACTTCAGCTCAGGTCATGATCTCACGGTTTGTGAGTTCCAGCCCCGCCTCAGGCTCGCTGCTTTCAGCACAGAGCCTGCTTTGGATCCTCTGTCCCCCTCTCTCTCTGTCCCTCGCCCACTCGTGTTCTCTCTCTCTCTCAAAAATAAATAAACATTTAAAAAAAAAAAGAAGAAGGAAAGGAGATGGCCTGTGTAAGCTCTGAGGGATTGGAGAGGAAAAATCACCGGAGGAGAACCCACATCTACGTGGGTGTGGTCATGTATTGATTCATTTATTGGTTTGCTTATCCCTTCCCTCCACTCATGGTAAGGAAGGCAGGCTCTTGAGCTTTGGCCACAGCTCCACCTCTCTAACCATAGCGTTTAACCCTCTGACCTCAGTTTAATTATCTGTGAAATGGGTTAAGGCTATACCTACGTCGTGGCATTGTTGTTGAGGGGATTGACTGACAGGGTTATATAACACGCATAGTCAGCGCATATTAAGTGCTTGTTAAATTTGGGTACATCACCCTGCGGTGCTAGGCTCTGGGTCAGAGTTAGATAGTTGTTAAAAAACAAAAAACACCAGTGTCTTCAGGGTCACCTGAGTGGCTCAGTCCGTTAAGCATCCAACTTTGGTTCAGGTCATGATCTCACGGTTGGTGAGTTCGAGCCCCGCGTCGGGCTCTGTGCTGACCGCTCGGAGCCTGGAGCCTGTTTTGGATTCTGTGTCTCCCTCTGTCTCTGCCCCTCCCCCGTTCATGCTGTGTCTGCCTGTCTGTCTGTCTCTCTCTCTGTCAAAAATAAACATTAAAAAAATGTAATCATGAATCTGGTCACCTCTCTCCACCTGATGGAAACCATCATCATCTCTTGTCTGAAGCACTGCAGAAGCTTCTTACCTGTTCTTCCAGCTCCCGCCCGTCTTCTCTGCAGTTTGTTCTCAGTTCAGCACCCAGAATAAACCTCAAAGATACTGGCCCGATCTTGTTTCTTCTTCATTCAAAGCCCTACGATAGTTTTCTATCTCCTTTAGAGTCAGATGTGAAGTCTTCCGCTGGCCTTCGAGGCCGTGCTACCTCTCAGACCTGGCTCGGACCCTTGCTGGCTCCATTTTAGCCACACTGACATCTGCGCTCTTTCCTGACCTTGCTGAAGAGGCTCCTGCCTCAGGACCTTTGCATTTGCTCTCCTCTGTTTGGAAAGGTCTTCTGAGATGTACGCACAGCTCGCTCCTTCACTCCCTTCAGGTCTCAGCCCCAGTGTTCCTGTTGCTGTTGTAAACATTCCCACAAATTTTGTGCCTTAAAACAACACAAAATAACTGTCTTAGGGTTCTGGATGTCAGGAGGGTAAATTTAAGATGTTCACGGGGCTGGTTCCTTCTGGAGGCTTCTGGGCAGAACCCGTTTCCTTGCCCCTTTCATCTCCTCGAGGCCGCCCACATTCCTCGGCTTGTGACCCCTTCCTGCCACCACTCTGAACCCTCGCTTCTGTCCTCACGTTGCCTCCAGCCTCCCTCTTCTAAAGACTCTTATAATTGGGGCGCCTGGGTGGCTCAGTCGGTTAAGCAGCCGGCTCTCGGTTTCAGCTCGGGTCATGATCTCATGGTTGCTGGCTTTGAACCCCACGTTGGACTCTGCACTGACAGTGTGGAGCCTGCTTAGGATTCTCTCTCTGCCGCTCCCCCACTTGCACGCACATGTACTCTTTCTCTCTCTCCCTCAAAATAAATAAACTTAAAAAAAAATCCTGTATAATTACACTGGGCTCAGCTGAGTAGTTCAGGATACTCGGCTTATCTCAAAATGCTTAACTTAATCAAATCTGCAAAGTCTCTTTACCAAGCAACATCCCGTATACACAGGCTCAGGGTGTTAGGATGTGGACATCTTGGGAAGGGGTCATTACTCAGCCTACTGCATACTCTCTATAAAATAACCGTCCCAACTTACCCCCCATTCTAGAATCCTGTCCCTGTTTCATTCTTCCCCTTAGCACTGTTCCCCATCAGACATTGTTTGTGTGTGTTGGTTTATAACTTTCTGTCTCCCCTGCGCCCCGACCCCTGCATGCCTTAGAGTGTAAAGCGTACGGGACAGGGCAAAGCACCCCCCTGTGGCACAATAGTGGGGGGTGTGGGCATGTTCTCAGTAAATATTTGTTAAAGGGCTAAATTTAGTCTCTGATCTTAATGAGGGGAGTGTGGTGCAAAATAGTGAACGGTAAGAAAAGAGTCATGGGGCACCTGGGGTGCACAGGGCTCAGTTAAGCGTCTGACTTTTGCTCAGGTCATGATCTCGCAGTTCACGGGTTTGAGCCCCGCATCAGGCTCTGTGCTGACAGCTCAGAGCCTGGAGTCTGCTTCGGATTCTGTGTCTCCCTCTCTCTCTCTCTGCCCCTCGACATCTTATTCTCTCTCTCTCTCTCTCTCTCTCTCTCTCTCTCTCTCAAAAATAAACACTAAAAAAAATTTTTTTTTAAAAGGAAAAAGTCATAAAAATGTATTTGGAAGATTTCGTGGAAACACGATCATTGGACTGCAGAGAGAGAACATCAGGAGGGCTGCACGGAGGAGGAAACTGAAGGGGGCCAGTGGCAGGGCAGGGCTTGGGAGAAGGAACAGAGCTCAGCCAGGTGGGATGGATCTGGGGATCCTACAGGAACTGTTTAGCCAGGCAGGAGAAGGGTCCATGCGGACAGATGCGGGTTAGAAAAAGCAGGAAGAAAAGGTCAGGGGCATATGCTAAGGAACCACATCAGAGTCCAAAGGGTGATGTAACCTGAGATGCTTTCTGCAGGGGTAGGAGGTAGGGGGCGGGGTTCAGGTAAAGCAGGAGGAAGCAGGCAGGAAGCGCATTCTCCTTGGGGGTGGGCGGTAACAGCCTCTCCCAGGGGGCCCCCAGAATGGTGAGAATGTGTTCTGATGGCTGACCCCAAAGAGTTCAGCCGGCTCTGAACTTCCACCTTCTCCTGGCACAGGAGGAGAGAGGAGGGCGGCAGGGGTGGGGTGGGGGGATGTGCAGCAGCTTGGCTCACCTAACAGCTCCCGGGGGGGGGGCGGGGGCCCCCTTCCAGGCTGGTTGCAGCTGTTCTTTTATCGAAAGATTTGGCCAAGAACAGTGTGAAGTGGTCACAGTCACGACTGCCTTGACTCCACCAGCCTGGCTGTGCCCTTGGATAAGTTCTTGGGTGTCTCTAAACCTCAGCCTCCTCATCTGTAGAGTGGGGACAAGAATAGTGCCTACTTCTTAAGTTTATTGTGAGGGCTAAGTGAAGTGATACATCAAGTCTCCTCGGGGCAGTTACACCATAAACCCAGAGTCTAGTTCTTTATCCCCAAACAGGAAGCACCCGAGGCCCGGGTGGGGGGTGACCAACCATCTTCTCTCCCCTCACCCAACCCCTAGAGATCTCACCGCTCAGGTCTGCCCCCCCCCCCCCACCTGCCGGGGCCCTCTGTGGACAGATCTCTCTGATAGGCCTTCTGGGAATGCATATTTAAATTGCAGCCCTCCACCTCCAGAGTCCTCTGAAAGGGAATCTCCCCCACCACTTCCAGTGGGAATGGATTTCCAGCCCTTCGTCCCTCCTCTAGCCTGAAAACTCCCCCCTTCACACTTGGGTTGGGAGTCTGCATGGCTCTCCCCTGCCCAGCCTCGTCTCGGGGATCTCTGGCCCATCCTTGGCCCTGGTGGAGAGGACAAAGGAAGGCCACCAGGTTCTGGGAGCCAGAGAGAGGCTGGGA